ATTCCTGTTAAGTCAGTAGGCCCCCAGCATGTCTGATTGGTAGACTCAGAGGCCTACAATTGTTGTAGGCCTCCAGCCTTCAAAGGTTATTGTCAGCTCCCTCAGTGTTGCAGCTGAGTGAGGCCAGCCCCAGGCATGGGAAAACCCAATTGTTTCAGGCTTTGGAAGGTGGGGTTGATCCCCTATGTGGCTGTTTGAGAAGTACCAGTCTGCTGCAGCTGATAAGACCCACCACCTGCAGGGCCACACACCCCATCAACACAGTCCTGCCTGGTGCACATGCCCTTACCCACTAATTGGATCTGGTCACCCCACTGCAGAGATGCCACACACTCTACCAACGCAGGCCCACTCCTCAAGCATGCCCTGCTCACCAAAGGTGGACCCACTCACCCACCTGCAGAGGTTCCAGGAACCTCACCTGTGCAGGCCCTTATGTTGCCTGAGGGCTTGCTGTTGGGTGGGGCCAGTCCCTGCAGTGGCTGCCTGCCCTGGCTGAGCTGAATTAAATTGGTGCAATAGTGGGTGGGGCAGACATCTGTGCTAACAGGCTAGGGGACGAACTCCAATGGCTTCTGCCAGCATCTGTGTCAGCACACCTGTAGTAGGTCACAGTAATGGCTGCTGCCAATGCCTCAGTCCCTGGAGAGGTCTCACCTCTCACCAAGATGCACTTAGAACCTATCACGTGAGTCTCTTTTCAGCAAAGGACAGTGTACCTTTCTTTCCGGTGATTTTAGGTTGCTTTCTGAAACATGTGAATTTGTGCATGGGTCCTTTAGGAGCAGGCTTTTCTTTCCCCTTATGCCCAACAGTTTTTCTGGGGAGATATTCCCTGTTGTCACTAACAGCCAGCAAAGCCAAGTATTATGACACTTGTCTCAGTTGTACTGAGTCCAAAACCTGCTTATTGTGGTAACTCTCCCCTGCTCAGATCCCCCACTCCTCCAGGGAAGACTTCATACCTTGGGGTTGCTCCCAATTGGCTGTGAAGCATTGTGGCTGGAAAGTGGCTTTTTTCTCTCTGGAAAGGAATTTCTGCCTCTTCCACCTTATTCAGCACCATCCCTTATTGTGGGGGTTCTTTACATGTATCCAGTTTTTAGTTCTTTCTCAGGGGTAATAGTTCCAAGAATAGTTGTAAATTTGTTGTGTCTGTGGGAGGTGGTGAGTTCAGTGTCTGCCTATCCAACCATCTTGACATCATCTCCTGTTCACATGATTGACATAAGTAATTCTGGATGATTCCAGCAAGGCTTAGCTGGGTGGTTCTGCCACAGGCCACTGAGCTTGTCTCCAGTCTATGGATGGTGTTTGATCTGGGCCAAGACTGAAGGGCAATGAATCCTCAGGGCACAACGTTAAGGGAAAGTTACAGGAGTGAACAAAATCCCCAACCAAGCCGCACAAGTGAATTTAAGTTCAATCATCTCCAACACATGTGCACACAATTTTTTTAACTAGTAGACTTTTTTTTTCCAGAAGTTTTAGCTTACAAAACAATAGAGCAGAAAATTCAGAGAGTCCCCAAATACCCCTCAATACCTCACCCCGTTTCCTCTATTATTATCAGCAGGCATTGGTGTGGCACCTTTGTTACAACTGATGAGCTAATGTTGATACATTGTTAATTAAATTCCATAGTTTACATTAAGGATCACTGTTTGTACTGTCCATTCTAGGGATTTTGCCACATATATAATGACATTGATTTGCTATTCCAGCCTCATACAGAACAGTTTCCCTGTACCTCGAAGCCACGTGCTCCACCTATTCACCCCTCTTTCCCTTCCCCAAATACCTGTCAACAACTGATGATTTTATTTTCTCCAAAGTTTTGCCTTTTTCAGAATGTCATATAATTGGAATCCTGCAGTATGTAGCCTTTTAAAAAATTTCATCATATTTTATTTATTTTCATTTTTTAAAGTGTTTTACTCTTTTAGAGCAGTTTTAGACTCACAGCAAACTTGAGAGGAAGGTGCAGAGATTTTCCATACATCTCCTGCCCCTACACGTTCATAGCCTCCTCTATTATCAACATCACTCACCAGAAGGGCATATTTGTTACAACCGATGAACCTACATTGACACATCCTAATCACCCAAAGTCTACAGTTTACCTTAGGGTTCACTCTTGGTATTGTATATGCTGTCAGTTTAGACAAATATATTATTATAATATGACAGAGTATTTCCACATCCCTTACAAATTCCCTATTCTTTTCCTATTCATCACTCTCCCTCACCATGCCTAACCCCTGCCAAACACTAATTTTACCATCTCCATAATTTTTCCTTTTCCAGATTGTCATATATTTGGAATCACACAGTTTGTAGCATTTTCTTTCACTTAGTAATATGCATTTAACGTTCCTCCATGTCTTGCCATGAGTTTGACAGCTCATTTCTTTTCAGCACTGAATAGTATTCCATTGTCTGGATCTATCACAGTTTCTTTATCCATTCACTTACTGAAGGACATCTTGATTGCTTCCAGGTTTTGGCAATTATGAATAAACCTGCTATAAATGTTTGTGAGCAGGTTTTCATGTGCATGTAATTTTCAACTCCTCTGGATAGATACCAAGGAGCACAATTGCTGAATCTTATGACAGGAATATGTTTAGTTTTGTAAGAAACTGCCAAATTGTTTTCCAAAATAACCACACAAATTTGCACTCCCACCACCAGCAATACAGGAGAGCTTCTGTTGCTCTGCATCTTTGCCAGCATGTGGTGTTGTGTTCTGGATTTTGGCCATTCTAATAGTTGTGTAGTTGTATCTCATTGTTCTTGCATTTCCTTGATATCAGATGATGTGAAGCTTTTTTTTCATTGCTTATTTGCCATCTGTATATCTTCTTTAGTGAGGTATCTGTTAAAGTCTTTGGTCCATTTTTTAACTGGGCCATTTGCTTTCTTATTGTTGAGTTTTAAGAGTTTTTTGTATATTTTGGATACAGTGCTTTAACAGATGTGTCTTTTGCAAATATTTTCTCCCAGTCTTGGACTTGTCTTTTCATTCACTTGACTTTGTCTTTTGTAGAGAAAAAGTTTTTATTTAAATGAAGTCCAGACTATCAATTATTTCCGTTATGGGCCATGCCTTTTCTGTGTGTCTAAGTCATTGCCATACCCAACATCATCTAAGTTTTCTCCTATATCTTCTAAGAATTTTATACTTTTGCATCTTACATTTAGTTCTTGAATTCAATTATCAGTTAATTTTTGTGAATGGTAAGATCTATGTCTAGATTCCTTTTCTTGCATGTGGATGTCCAGTTGTTCTAGCACCATTGTTGAAGAGACTGTCTTTGCTCCAGAGTATTGTCTTTGCTCTTTTGTCAAAGTTTGGTTGGCTTTTACATTCATGTGGTACTATTTCTCAACTCTCTATTCTGTTCCATTGGTCTATTTGTCTGTTCTTTCACCAATGTCACACTGTCTTGATTACTGTGGTTTTATACTAAGTCTTGAAGTCAGGTATGTGCACTTGATATTTATTTATTTTTTCATCTTGGTGATTCTCCAAATTTCAAAAAACAATTACTCCATTTAAGGTATTTTATAATATCAATGACAAATAATTGTATTTTTCATCTTTTATTATCTTAAAAATGCTTTAAAATTTAATTTTGTGTTAATTAAAAAGAAAAACTCAGTGTGTTTTTTCAACATTTGATTTTAAAATAGAAATTTTCTTAAATTTTCTTTAAACTTTAAAATAAAATTTTCTTAAATATTTTCTTCTATTTCTTAAATATTATATTTATTATACATTATGAAAATTGCATTATATTTATAAATATATATATATTTAGCTGAAGTAAACATCCCCTAAGACATAGCTTCTTAAACCTTAGATAGATGATCTGTTATCTTGTTAAAAAGCACGTTTTCATTTAGTAGATCTAAACTGGGCCTGCTATTTTATATTTGTAACAAGCAACTTGTCAGTGATGCTGCTGCTGCTGATGAATTCTGGACAAATTTTTAGTAGAAAGGTATTTTCATGTCAAGGTAAAAGAATGCTATATCCATGTGTAGATTTGTGTGTGTGTGTAAAGAAAGTTTTTCATTTGTTTATCAAATTATTGCTATATATTTCATGCAACTTCCTCATTTTCTGTTTACTGCATGTTTAATGTTTTTTCTTGTTATGATCCCAGTCTTGCTGACGATAGTTGGAAGCACATCCAAGTGTATTCTGGATGCCGTTCCCTACCTGGAAAAATTCTGAGCAATGGAAATAGTACCATACTGAGCTGTCTGCTGTCAACTCCTCACCATCATTATTACTTCTAGAAGTGCATTTCCAACACCTCTTTTCTTTCTGTGGTTTCATGTAGAGTTGTTCAATGATGGGCCCTCCAATGAGATTTGGAGGTCAGAAAAAGAAAGTTCAATATCCACTGGCATCTGAAAGCAGAGAATGGACAGGGTGAGGACTTGAAAAAACCTGGTGAGGTTCTGCAGAAGGTAAACCATCAACAGCTCCACTCCTGGGCTTCTTAGACAGGCCTGAGGCCACATGATCAGGCAGCCTATACCTTCAGTGGCAGCTGTGCTCTGCCTTCTGGGGGAACACCAGGGCATCATCCCTTTCTAGCATCTGCTCCCTTACTATCACACTCCCTAGACTTTGAAAGGTTATAGTTTACACTAAAATTCCTCATACTAAAAGATTACTGTTTGGAATATGTGGACTGACTTCTCTTTTGCTGTATAAACCCTGACTGGTACCATAACGCAGACTCCTCAGGTGTAATCATTTCCATGCTTTATTTAATCAGGAGAGGCACTGACATGTCTGTGCTGCTGGGGCTGAGGAGAGAGAAAGAGAGTTACAGAGTGCTGAGGAGCCTTCCTGCCCCTTCTATCAAATCTCCCTGTGAACTTCAAAGTGTGGCAGCTTCTGAGAAATGCTCTGAGCAGATGGAGGCACACAAGGAGGAGCTGGGGAAGCCCAGCCCCACACTTCTGCTTTCCTGGGCGGTTTATGTTCTGGCTTGTAACACTGTGGGAGGGCTGCTCTTATACTGCTGACAGTAATAAGTTGCAGCATCTTCAGGCTCCAGGCTGCTGATGGTGAGAGTGAAATCTGTCCAAGTTCCACTGCCACTGAACCTCGAAGAGACGCCAGTGTGCAAAATGGTTGCCTTACTGATCAGGAACTTAAGAGCTTTCCCTGGTTTCTGCTGATACCAGGCTAACCAAGTGTTAATGCCCTGAGTGGCCTGGCAAGTGATGGTGACTCTGTCTCCTAGAGATGCAGACAGGGAGGCTGGAGACTGGGTCATCTGGATCTCACACCTGGCACCTGGGATTGCAGACATAAAAACAAACATCCATATTATTAACCATGTTATAAGAGGACTACTCTGAACTGCTAGGTAGTACTGACCACATTGGGAGAGTACATTTCCAGTGTTCTCCCTCCTTACCTGGGAGCCAGAGCAGCAGAAGGCTGAGGAGCTGAGCAGGGACCCTCATGTCCAGGCTATATCCTGACTGGGATTGACTCCCACACAGGGTGCTAGCAGCATATTAATAAGTGCGCAGGGCAGTGAGTCATACTCCAGTAATATGCAAATCAGCAGGGGATGGGGCAGGGCTAGGCACAGCTGCAGGGCAGCTAACTCAATAACACGGCACAGGCGCAGTGTCTCCCAGGTGTCCAAGTCTGACCAGGGCAGCACAAATGTGCCTGTAGAGAATGTATTTCTCCCTGGGGGCCACAGGATAGATTTAGTCTACTGTCCTTTAAGCATAGTGTTCTTTTGCTCTCTTCACTGTTCACAACATGCTTTTCTTTCTACCTCTCCATCTAAGACAAGTTCTATCTGGGATGACACGTTTCAAGAAACTGCAAGAAATTTTACAAGATCTCTGTGTTTGGTACCTGGGGATATTATTGAGGCCAAAGGGTCCTCCCCTTTGATCAGATACCCTGATGCCCTTGCTGTGATAAATTGTCGGCACGTGACAGAACCCAGGATATCTACAGAATTTCCCCTCTGTATTTGACAAGGTACTGATTGAAACACACATGAGAAGAATCTATTGAGGTTGTAGAAAGATTTTTCTGAATTTATTAGAGGAAAAATTCCGCAGAACTCAGACAGAGTCAAGATTAGTTGCTGTTTCCACCAGCCAGAGCAGAAAATCTTATAATTCATGAGCCGTCAGCTGGAGCACTTAGAAAGAGTTTGCCTCAGTGGTGGGGCAAAATTATCTCTATGCTAAATGCCATCTGGTCTTTCCTAATAAAGCCTAAAACCAAGACCAAATAGAGTCAAACAGTTTCACGTGAAAAGATTAGATAATGCAGAAGAAAGATTAGTGACCTTTAGCAATAGAAAATATCCAAAATTGAGCAGAATGAGTAAAAATTTGAAAAAATACAATAAAATGAGCAGAGCATCCATGAGCTGTGGGACACCTTGAAGCAGTCTGTTGTGTATGTAATTGAAGTTCTGAGAGGAGAAATTAAGGAAATGAGTACAAAAATTTTTGAAAAAATATTGACTAAAATTTTATGTTTTAAGTAATGATTCCAAGGGTTTGCATAATTAAAAATCCAGTCAGCTCAAAACCACAAATTCAGTGGCTGAATGTAGACGCCCAAGAAAAATCAGGCAATTTACCCAGAGCTCCCTCCATAGTCCTGGCTCTTGTTGCAAACAGATTTCTAGCAATTGAATGGTCTGGGGAATATCAAGAAATTATCTCCAAGATAAAGACACCCCCACACCCATAACTAAAAAGTAGTCAACACTAGAAAGTCCTTTATGGATTCTGAAAGCAACACAGACATTTTGGAGTGAGTTATTCTAATTCATTTATTGATAACTTGTAAGGTTTCCAGTTCTGAGTGAGTCCCAGAAGAGAAGAAGGCTCTGCATTAAGTCCAACCTGCAGTGAACCTTATGACCTAGTAGGTCAAAGATGCTTAAGGTGACTCTGTCAGGTAGGGAAAGTGTATGGAGGCTCCAGAAAGCCCCAAAAGGAGAACCACAGTGCAGACCTCTAGAGCGTTGCAACAATGCCATGATCTCTTTCTCAGGTAAAAAGTCCCTTTTTGAGATAACGGTTCGCAAAGTCCATTTGGTCAAGTTGTTCGGTAGTGTTAATCAGATCATTCAGAGCCTTACTGCATCACTGAGTATTTTGTAGTTTTAAACACTCTCAGTTGACTCTTTAATTATATATTTATTTACTCTTCTAGGGATTATTGTAGTACAGTGGTTTTCATCTGGGAAAAATTTTGTCCCTTCTCCCCTAGAAACATTTGGCAATGTCTGGAGATGCCTGTGATTGTCACAACTAGAGCGGGAGGGGGTGGGCTGTGACCCTGGCCTCCAATGGGTAGAGATAAAGATGCTGCTACACATTGTGTGATGCACAAAACAGCTCCCGCAACAGAGAATTTTCAGGTCTAAAGTGTCAACAGCGCCCACACTGAGAAGCCTTGTTCTGTGGGTTACACCATGCAGCCATAACTATCTTAGCCTGCTGTAAGTTAGTATTTTCACACTTCACAGACCAGGTCAAATCCCTAAGCTGTGCACTGTCATTTAGCCCCCTGCCATTCTTTGTACTATTTTTATCATGCATTTTAATTTCACACATATTTTACAACTCACAGTATATCCGTATTCATACCTCTTTAAACAATATGTTGTCTTTAAGGAAATTGTAATCAAAGAACAAGTCTTTCACATTTTCCTATCATTTACCAGTTCTGGAGCTCTCATTTCTGTTGTGTTTCTATCTAGTAAAATTTCCCTTCAGCCGAAGAATTTTCCTTCGCATTTCTTGTGGTGCAGGTCTGCTGAAGACAAATTCTGTTTCTTTTTTGTCTTTAAATTTCTTTATTTCATCTTTATTTGTGAAGGATATATTTACTGAATATGGAATCCAAACTAACGTATTTTTTTCTCAGTGATTGAAGATGCTGCCTTATATTCTGTTTTGCAATTTAAGAAACATGCAGTCATTCTTTTGGTTGTTTTCCATAACGTTTCCATGTTTTTCTTCCCATGTGGCCACTTCTTTTTGTTTTTTGAGGAAGAATGGCCCTGAGCTAACATCCATGGCCATCTTCCTCTACTTTATAAGTGGGACTCCTGCCACAACTTAGCTTGATAAGCAGAGCATAGGTCCATGCCTGGGATCCAAATGGGCAAGCCCCAGGCCGCTGAAGTGGAGTGGGTGAACTTAACCACTGCACCACCAAACTGGCCCCAACCCATGTGGCTGCTATTAGGCTTGTCTCTTTATGAGAAATTTTCATCAGTTTGACTAGGACGAGCCTAGGTGAGACTTTGTGTTTATCCTGCTTGGGCTTTGTTGAGCTTCCTGGGTCTGTGGGTTGACATTTTTCATCAGCTTTGGAAAATGTTTAGTCATTATTTCTCAAATTGTTATTCTATGCATAATTCTATGCATTGTCAGTTTAAGATGGTTTCAGCTGGGTAGTTCTTCTGGTCTTGTTTGAGATTGCAGATGGGCAAGCAGAGAGGCTCAGGACCTTTGACGAAGGTGTAGCCCTGGTCCAGGTGAAAGATAGTGGAGGCTTGTAGCAGGATGGGAGGTGAGAGGTGGTCAGATCTGGGATACATTTAAGGTGTGGGAGAGCTGTTCCATTTCTCTTTGCTCCGAGGTGCCTAGCACACTGTGTTGAGCATGCAGCACGTACAATAACTCTTGATTTTTGTTTCATTGAGAATTTTCCCACTGCCTGCTGGCACTCAGGAAGGAGACTTCTCATTTCCTCTTAGATTCCTTTGAGTAACCAAGATTGTGCCTCTATTTCACATTTCCTTCTCCTGATTGTCCCCATCTTCTGAAAGGAGATGGCCAATTTGTTCTGTTATTGTGAATCTCAACCTGTTATTAAAAGACCTCAGTCTAGTGTCTTCTCTATTGTTTATATGTTATTTTCTTATTTCTTTGTCATCATCTTAACAATAAAATAAAATATAACCTTTTCCCTTTTATATTTAGCTATTACAAATGCCATCTTGGTTAATCACACTGATTAGCTTCAGAACTACTAGTGAACACACAGAATGGTATTAGGAGATTCAGTGTCTTCAATAAGTTGTGTGTAGAGCATGTGACTATCTAGCATTAGGGTCAGTGCCTCTCACTGAATTTTTCGAATCAGCTAGCTCCGCAGAATTCCTCTGTGTTGTCATACTGCACATCGCCTTCTATGAATCAGATTTTCTGATTAGAATCTTGGCTTGATATCTGAGTTATCTTGGACACTTTTCATAACCTTTCTCTGCCTTGGTGTCTTTCACTGGAAGATGAGCATAAAACATCTCACACCGAGACTTAGCTCCATTCATGGCACATAATAAGCACTCAATAAATATAACAGCCATTCTTATCTTTGTTGTTATTAGACTTATACTTCAAGACAATTATGGTGGATCAGAAAAACATTGCCACATTCCTCCTGTTGAGAGTGGAGTCTATTTCTTGATTTCTTGAATCAACTTTGGTCTCGGGTCTTGCTTTGACAAATAGAATGTGGTGGAAGGAACCCTCTGACAGTTCCGGAACCCAGAACTCAAGTGGCTTTGCAGCCTCCACCCTCCCTCTTGGAATGTAAGAAACCTGATCTAGCCTATTGAAGGATAACAGGCCATCTGGAGGAGAACTGAGATACCCAGCCAACAGCCAGCACTGACTACCAGACATATGATCAGGCCATCCAGCGACATGACAGGGGATGCAGGGTGGGGAGAGAAAGTGGTCCTTCCAGATGGGTATATTGTATCACTGACATTGTTCAGAATTGTCAGTATATGATGACAGTAAAAAGTAGCATTATTATCCATTTAAAACTTTCTACCACTGGGGCCGGGCTGGTGGTACAGCAGTTCAGTTTGCATGTTCCACTTTGGCAGCCCGGGGTTCACCAATTCGGATCCTGGGTGTGGACATGCACATCACTTGTCAAGCCATGCTGAGGCAGGCATCCCACGTATAAAGTAGAGGAAGATGGGCACGGATGTTAGTTCAGGGCCAGTCTTTCTCAGCAAAAATAGGAGGATTGGTAGTAGATGTTAGCTCAGGGCTAATATTCCCAAAAGAGGAAAAAAAGAAAACTTTCTACTGTTAATTCACTCTTTAGAGCATGCACCTGAGGTGAAGGTCTCTAACTACCCCTCTCCTTGTATGTGACTAAGAGGAGAACTGAGGCTCCCAGCTGACAGCCAGCACCACTGGCAGACATGTAGCTGAGACCAACTTGGGCCTTTCAGTCCAGTTGACCTTCCTGCTGACTGAGACCACACAAGAGAGCCCGGGCAAACCAGCTGAGAAACCACCTGGCCAACCCTCAGAATCACAAGAAATAATAAATTGTTGTTTCAAGCTATTATTTTTGGAGGCTCTGTTATACTACAATTGATAATGGAAATAACAGTAAATTAATCCATTTACAGCTTCTGTCTAGATCACGGCTCGGCTCTAAC